CTGAGCCAAACCGGTTAGGGCCGTTGTATTTCCTTTACCTTTGTGTTTTGGTAGGGCTCTGGAAAGCACTCCCTGGTTCTTCTGGCCTTCCGCTGTCCTAACCTCTCATTCCTTCCTCCTTAAAATGAAGGGTGGGCTTGGAATAGCTTGAGTTCCTGGGACCCTGTAGGCAAGGATCCAGGAGGCCGGGCATGAGGGTCAACCTACTGCACTGAATGAGCAAGAAGCCTCCCCCCCGCCACCCCCCCATTCAGCTTTGAGGAGGAAATGGCCAGGAAGCTGGCAGCTCACTTGCTCTGGGCCAGAATGCTAGCAGCGCAGCTGGTTCGGCTGGCCATCTCATGCTGATCACAGGCTCCGATGGGCAATTATACGTGTCTTTGATTAATAAAAAATGGGGCGATAATGAATACTTAATCAACGCAGCCTGGCCGGGAGGCTCTTTCAGAACCTGGGCTGGGGGTGAGGCAGGAGGTACTCAAAGGGGTCCTGGGAGGCGAAGAGGTAGGGCACCCCCAGGGGGTGTTCTGGAAAGCTGTCCAGTCCTGGTCCCTGGGCCTCTTTGGATTCTGTGCTGGCAGATCTGCAATGCTTGGGATTTGCTGGCCACCCTGGGAGCAGGAGATTAGGAGAGAGTTAAGCTGGTAGGCAAGCGGGGAAAGGTGTGTTCTGTGCCCTCCCACGTGGCCAAAGAAAAGCACAAGGCATAGGGGGTGTGTGTGTCCGTGTGTCTGCAGGCGGCTGTGTGTCCTCTGTGTGTGTGCTGTGAGTTTGGTCGGGTGGGTTCTGTGGGTCTGCTGTGCCTGCCATGGTATTAGCACTAACTTGGTTGGGAGGGAGGAGAGGCCAGGGACCTGGGAGGCTGAAAGAGCATCAAGAGAGATGAAAAGGGCCCTAGCTGGTTTGGCTCAGTGGATAGAGCATCAGCCTGCGGACTGAAGGGTCCCAGGTTCAATTCCGGGCAAGGGCACATGCCTGGATTGCGGGCTTTATCCCCAGTGGGGGATGTGCAGGAGGCAGACAATCAATGATTCTCATCATTGATGCTTCTATCTCTCTTTTATATTAAAGAGAGAGAGAGAGAGAGAGAGAGAGAGAGAGAGAGAGAGAGAGAGAGGTGAAAAGGGCCCTAGCTGGTTTGGCTCAGGGGATAGAGAGAGCCGACTGAAGGGTCCCAGGTTTGTGTAAGAGGCAACCAATCAATGCGTCTCTCTCACATCGATGTTTCGCTCCCTCCCTCTCCCTTCCTCTCTCTCTAAAAAATCAATAGAAAAGTATCCTCGGGTGAGAGTTAACAAAGAGTGGGGAGCGGTGGTGGCGCCCGCTGGGGTTGGAGGGAGAGAAAGGAGAGAAGATCCAAGAGCAGGATTCCAGAGGTGGGAGAAGCTGCGGGCAGCAGCGGCTGCTAGCGAGCAGAAGGAAGTGATGGAGAGCGGGAGGTGCCTGTCTGTGGCCTTCCGGCTCCGCTGGCGCTGGGGCAGCCACAG